ATTGATCAAAAACACTTTCACTTTTGAGGGCCTTCATCCAGTTGAACCTTCCTTATTATGAGCTTATACTGTAAGGACTGTTGCATCAGTAGAGATCTACTTTATATTCTATTGATTTGTCGTTTTTCCTACGTGATTTTACTAGCATGGGCACATATTCGAAATATCTTGCAGTTGTGGCTAACCATAGTATTAGCAGTAGACCGGCATCAATAATTCTCAGCCCTCTACTATCTTCTTGTGGGAACCAATAGGAACTGCAACATTACAATACATAGAGTGCTAGAGGGACGATGTTTTTTTAAAAGGCCCACCAGAAAGTTAGCATGGGACCAGCTCCCTCGACAAAAAGCCAACAGGGCTTTTCCTTTGGATTATTACAAAAAATAAGCTCTGGGGCAAACAAACGTTTATGATACTTACACGTTTTGTTCAGCAAGATAATCTTCACAAATGAACCCAACCTTTATGATTTTTTTAAGCGTGAATACAATCAACAGAAGTAAAAAGCTAACGTTAGGCTATAAAGGAACTGCAACACAGTCGCATGACCTCACGTCTCCACCACTAAGCTAAAGGAGGACGAGTGTTATAGTGATGACGTTGAGTCGTCTCATTTCAGCATCGGTAAAAAAAACAATCTAGGCCTATAATAAATTACTAAACTGTTAAAAAGCTAAATATAACCGAACGTCAACATCTGACATCCACCGTTACATCATAATTAGGTAGTTTAGTGAAAGTGGAGTAGGATTCTCTGAGCTCCGCGTTTATCATTTGCTAAATCTTTATGAATTCTCTTTCACATCTTCCTTCGACCTCATGACGTTTTCCATTGAGGTCAAGGAAAAGTGGTTAGTAATAGATGTTAGGAGGTCATTTTTTGACTTTGCAAATGATCAACTTTAGGGACCAGTTGTGACTTTGGAACTGTTAATTGAAGATCTCAGGCAGAGGTCAGGCTCATAGGGAATCAGCAGAGTGCAGATATAGGAAGGAGCCAGGCCATTCAAGGCTTTAGAAACAAGCAGTAAAATCTTAAAATCAATTTTAAGGGCAGCAAGGATGGGTGTGGTGTGGTCACTTCTCTTTATATGTGTTAAAAGCCTGACGGCAGCGTTCTGTATCAATTGCAGTCTTTGTATGTTTTGCCTGCTGATTGCATTGCGTAATCGTCAAGTCTGGAGGAGATAAAAGCATGAATGACTCTCTCTAGGTCTGCAGGTGAAAGGAATGACCTGATTTTGCTTAGCTGTCTCAATTGAGTAAAGCAAGACTGACCACCTTTGGTCACCTGTGGGTCAAAAGTCAGTTCGGAATCAAAAACGACATCCAGGTTGCGGGCTTCGTGCCGAACATTATTAGATAAGGCTCACTTAGAGATTGTTGATGCAGCTAGTGCTGGGGCCAGCAGGGGTAGTTCAAATAGCATCTGATTTGGAGTCATTTAATTCCAGCAAGTTTTTTGACATCCAATTTCTTATGTCAGCAAGACAGGACATGATACACGAAACAATGGTGGTGCCAGGCTTAATCGGGATATACAACTGGGTATCATCCACGTAGCAATGAAATTCCGTATTATGTTCATGTATGATGTTTCCCAGAGGTCACATGTACTATATGGTAAACAGAAGGGGACCCAATATAGACCCCTGGGGTACCCCACAGAAGAGAGGAGCAGATTGAGGAGGCACCTCCAAGCATTACAGAGCAACGGCGACTCATTAGGTGACTCAGCAAGACACGTAAATGTTTCTAAATACACCAGAGGAGTATTTACTTTGACATATTTTATACCGTAGAACAAAAGGTTAAAATCTCTTCAGCTTGTGTTAAACACAGATCTTATTTTAGACATCTAACCAAAAACACATTCAAAAAACAACTTGTCTTTGAGACGGGGGAACAGGAAGGGCAAAAATGCTGACTCATTTCTGGGTTTTAAGACTCATTGCGCTCTGTTTCAAACAGGTGTACAGAAGTATGTTCACTTTAAACGTGGGTCATCCTGCTGAATTATCTTTGTCTTTTGTGATTTAGTTAAGTTGACTTTACCCTGAGTAGCACCAGTGTAATGGACTAAAGACAAGAAAGCTTACTGTCACTGTTGTCTACATTTACAAAGACATCAATATTATGGAGCAATTGGTTTTTACTAACTACTCAAACACACTCTCTGATATAGTTACTGCACTCTGTTTGCTCCTCAATTTCAAAACTGCCCTCCCAGCTGAAACTCTATAATTGCAATAATTTTGATTACTAGGTCGTTATTTAAATTGTGTTTGTGTGTGTGCAGTATGTGCGCATAATGCATATTCATAGATACACAAGTACTCACAGTCAGAGAGCTATTGATTCAACTTCATGATTTGGATTTTGGAGGATGTCATATGTGGTGCCGTTAAACCGTCTTGGGTCACACAGAGAGGCGTTTCTGTTATTTAGCCTGCCCTCATTGATATAAATGGGGTGGGTGAAATAATAGGAACACCTGTCAGTAAAGGAATTCAATGGCACCACAAACTTTGTTCTCCAAAATGGGTCTTTTTTTATAATTTTGTATTGCAAGACAAGAGACAATACATAAACATAACGACAAGAGGACGACAAGAACGGTGAAATACAGGCCAGCTAACATCATGTAGTCAGTGTATGGGAGAACGGTGTGATGTGTGTGTGTGCGTGTATATATATATATATATATATGCATACACACATCCACACACAAATTAAAAAATTAAAATTATAGTAATGAGTGTGCAAAGGGGGCGAAAATTAGGCACATGAAATGTATTCTCACACACACACACATTAGATAGAGAGTACAAAAACAGAAGATGTATTCATGACAAAAAATAAGATAAATAATTAGTCGAGGATTAATAAATACATGGCAAATGGGAGGTCAGTGCGGGACAGGATGGGAATTTATGTTTACCAGGTTTAAAAACAAATAATGATAATAATTAAAATAATAGTTGTAATAATAATAATAACATCTACATCACAATAACAATATAACATTGTCAGAGATAGTGACAGAAATGTAACTAAATCATTTCAGTAGTATAATATCTTCAGTAGTAATAATATCAGCCCAGAAAAAACAAAATTAAACAAAAAATATAAAACAAAACAAAAAGAAAATAATGGAGAAGACTAGAATAAATTAGTGCTGGGCAAGTTAACGCGTTAATTTCGCATTAACGCATTCATTAATTAACGCCGACAATTATTTTATCGCGCGTTAACGCATTTTTAAAATTTATTATAATTTTTTTTATTTTTATTTTTTATTGAAAGACAAGAGACAATACATATACATAACAACAAGAGGATGACAAGAACAATGGGATAAAAGCCAGCAAACATCCTATAGTCAGTAATTTTAGTGCACCTATATGCTGAAATTCACGGTAAACGCATTTAAACGGCACAGATCGGGAGCGAGCGAAGGACTTTGAAAGTTAGTGGAAAGATTAACGTGAGACAACATCCGGTTTCTTCAGACGAACATCCGGTTTTCAGAATAAGATGCCAACAAAGTATGAATTATATTCATATTAGGTATAAAACATGCGATTAATCGCGATTAAATATTTTAATCGTTGCCCAGCACTAGAAGAAATATAATAGACTATGATATAGATGAATAATATACAATAAAAAAACAGGACCATTATCAATATTAATAATATATTTTAAATATTATAATTGTATATGTATGTTTGTATGCATGTGTATGCATGTGCATGTTCATGTACACATGTACTTACATGTGGTTGGTTTGGTGGACAGGCAACAAGAAAATAATAAATAAATAAAAATACTAATGAAGTAATAAATAATAATGACTATAATTTTAGTATTAATAGGATGGGTGTTGTCACGTTTGTAAAAACATAGTGAAGGATGACCAGATGGAGTGGTGTTCTGTTGTATATGATGGAAGAGGTTAGATCGTCCATTGAAATATATTCTGTCATGAAGTAGAAGTAGTTAGTTTGTTTTGCTCACATTAATTGTTGAAATGTCTTCTGAAATCTTGTTCTTTTTCTCGTAGTAGAGCTGCGCAGGTCATTCATGCCATCTTTGGGTGACTGAAGAGAAAATGAATATGATCTCAAAATACATTTTCAACAAAAGGGTTGGTTATGATTTGGATACTGATCGTTGAGTCCATAGTCCGTTCCTTTGAGCTGCCTGCCTTGTTGTCTAACCTGTTCTTTTTGTTTGTAGTGTTCAGATTTAGCGATGATTGACCGTGGTCGGTTATTGTTGTTCTTTGGTCCCAGACGGTGTACACGTGGAATGTTGTGTTGCTGACAGTCACAGCGGGTAGTTAGACATGAATTCTTTGATGATTTTTTGGGTCTTCTGTGGTTTGTTCGGGGATGCCGGTGAAAACTAGATTGCCTCTCATACTGTGTGCTTGCAAATCCAGGATGGTTTCTTTCATAGCTTTGTTGTCGGCGGTAACAAAGGTGAGCTGGGTGGTTGTCGTGTTGACAGAATGTAGTGACTTGTTGTCCTGAGTGAGTGTCTATTTGGTTCTGACTGAATTCCAGGCTGTGGCGCAGAGCCTGGAATGAGCGAGAGTCTGGAGTCAAAGCCAAAATGGATCATAAAGTCAAATCAACAATTCTCTTCATAGTTTCAACCAGAACTGAACTTAATAACTTTCAGTAAAGTAAGATTTGCTGTTATATATATTTATATATATATATATATATATATATGTATATGTATGTTTATATATATTTATATATGTATATGTTTATATGTATATATCATGTGCTGTATAAGAGATGTATAGACCAAGAGAAAAGCCTGTGAGGTTTTGAACCAGATGGGAACTTATCAGCTTGAATACAGTAGATTGTCATCGCAGAAAGTGAATCATATCTCAGATGCCACGTGATGAGCTATTTATGCAGTAGACCTGCCTCAGATCAATCATAAAGGAGTGACTCTCTCTGTGTTCTATGTCCCAGCCTCAGAGGACGGGGACGCGGTGGAAGTGGAGCGGATGCTGAGGCTGGCTGAGCAGTGTCTGGAGCGATCCAAGTCATTTGTGGGGAAGAGAGCCAAGCCCCCCGACCTCCCCGCCGCCGTCTCCGCTTCCTTTTCCTGTTCACCTGGCCAATTGGAGCCCCAACAGACCGCTCTCCTCCCAGCTGCCATTGCAGCTAACGCCGGTGAATACATCCAATCAGAAGCATATCTTTTATTTACATACCGTTCAATCACTGCTAACTTGGAGCCTGCCCCAGGGGTCACAAATTAAGCCATTGTATAGCCACATGATTTGGTTCTCTAAGCCAATCACCATTTCTTTTTCTTCTCTGTCTCTGTTTTCACCTCAGCTGACACAGCCCCTCCATCTGATACTCCTGTTAAAGCAACAAGCAGCCCGGCAAAGGCCGGTCACCGCAGGGTGTTGTCAGATGGCGGCTGGGAGCTCTCCCCCTTTCTGCCTCCTGAAGTCTTCCAGAGAGTGCAAACAGTGGAGTCACAGGACACGAGCAAAAAGTAGGGGCCAGTTTTTTTTATCAAGGATGGCAAATATTGCACCATTCATTGACAGAAATCCTCTGAAAGTGAACAACACAGCAGGGATAAGAGAGACTTCCAACAACCGATTAGCTTTAGTTTCCACTTAGGGCAGCAAACCGTTTCTTACACTGATGTTTCTTCAATTCAGTTCTCTACATTTTAGACCTGTGGTGGTTTCCAAGGTTTTAAAAATGTCGCTCCCTCTTACTGTCCTATTTGCATTCAATTATTTTTGTGCCTAAAGTACATTTTTTGAGTCAAGTTAATTGTAAAGTGACAAAAAATATCCTCAGAAATATCACATATAACTTGCAGAATCTTGTCGTTGCCATATGTGAGTGTCGTTGGTTTTTTGAGCTTTATTATGAGAATGTCGGCCATGTTGATTTGAGATATCAGTGAAATCAGCAGTGAAAGCTGCTTCAAAAATAATTATACCATCATGAGATTGTTTTATTTGCCTTTGACACAAACCTGAAGTAACACACTGCTTGCTTAAATGTTTGTGTGTGCAGCAGGGACCTGACGCCCATTGAAGAAGCGTCACGTTTGAACCAGAAGTTGAAAGCCAATTATGAAGCTCGTCTGGCGAGGCTCACACCTGGTCAGGCCCACCAAAAGACGTCTTTGGTATGTGTGTGTGTGTGTGTGTGTGTGTGTGAGAGGGCATAAAGGGCCGACGAGGTCCATCCCATTTCAGAGGTTTCCTCAAGTGCAGCCTTCTTTTACCCAATTTTGGACATCATAACCATACATATCCCGTGTGGCTCTCAGTATTCCACAATCCATCACAGGCCAGTGAGTGATCCATTGAAGTGTTCAGGCAATCCTCCTCAACTCGTAAAGGCAGGAAACATCATGTGACTACGATGTGTGTACTAGACGTTCTGTCTTCAGGGGGTCATCAGTCACTGTTGCAACACTGTTGACGTTACAGATAAATGGATAAAACTGGAGCTTAAACTGGATCATCAATATTTACCATTTTGTAAGGGCAACTGTTAGTTTTCTCTATTGATGGATCTCAACAACTATTGGATGGATTACATGGAGTTGTGTAAGCATTCGTGGTCGCTGGAGGATAAAACCTATTGACTGTGTACACCTGCCTTTTCCTCTGCTGCCACCAGCTGGGCAAAGTTTTCACTTATCCAGTAAAATATCTCAACATCGACCAGATGGATTGGCACAAAATTTCACACTGACATTCATGGTCCCCAAAGAATGTATCCTAATATCTTTGTTGATCTCCTCAGCTTTCCATAAGGTTGACATTTGTAGTTTTGTGTGAAATAACTCAATAACTATGGATGAGAGAACACAAGAATACACCATTAGTTTTGGTTCCTGTGATGTTAAACAAGAAGGCGGGAGGTAAAGGCTTGGGGTTCTTCCATCTTTCCCCTCTCTTTCTTACGTGGTGAAGCCTTAAATCCTAATAAGGGGGAAATGTATATTTTTAAATAATTTAAAATGAAAAAAACATTGCGCAAGCAATTGCTCTCTTAATAGTTTCCTCGACAGGAAGTAGGCAACACCGCCTAAACATATATTGGACGCAGGTTTATTTTCAATAGTGGTCTCAACATTTTTATCGACATCGTGTATACTTTTATTTTGGATGTCTTGGTGGTACTTCCGGTCTGGTATCTTCGTTAGCGCGACGCGTTTTGTTGATGATGAATGAATCCCCGAGTGAAGGGGGAGTGGGCTGACACCTCTGTTGTTCTCAAGAGGTTATTTAACGCCAGATTACGTCGTCACTTTGAAGCACAACTTTTTCTACCTCTCGTAATTCGGTGAAAACTATCTCCAGTCAGAAAAAAAGATGGTAAGCGTGAGCCATGACATTAAGTTTGTAACGGTAGGCATTTACTTAGATAACGCCAATTGCCACGGCTTAAGCTAGCCAATTTAAGTCAAATATCCATTCTGAGTTCTGTTTGAAGGTTTTAAATTATTGTTAACTTCTCATTCAGATACGGAACATGTTTTGGCGTCAAGCGGAGCTCCGTGCTTCCTGGAGAAAACTCAAAACGTTTGTAAAGGTAAAGTAATATGAGCTAAATTGGCTAAGAACGCCAAGGAGGGAACGTCGCACTGAACTCTTTTAAACGTTCTTCGAAAGAGCGTGCACAATATAGGCATTAACGTCGCGAGCTGATGCAAGATTTATTGCAAGTTTTCAAATTCATAGACATGAGCGGAGATTTTGCGTGACGCTTATTCAAGTGTTCTTTTTGTGGCTCCACAGTCACCAGTGGGCAATGCTTAAATGTTTGTGTCAGTTCAGTTCTACTGTGAGGCAGCGTTCATATTCATGTATATGGTGGCCGGAAGTCTGGAAATGGTCCTATGGAACCCATTTTAACAATTGGTCGTCATTAAATATATTACGATATCTTAAAAATGACGAGTTAGCATCTCAAAATATTCAGAATCGGCTTTTACTCATTTTTTTTGCATCTTTCTCTAATGACTTAGTGTTTCAAGACAATAAGTTAGCCTCTCAAAATAATGAAAAACGTTCTCAATAGTCTGACTTAGTATCTGATTATTTTGAGATTGGATTTAATAAGTCATTATTTTGCAATGCTAAATCAAAAATATTGAGAAAGTTTCTCAGTTTGAGATGCTATGTCATTTGAGATGTTGACTCAATTTTTTGAGTCATTATATTGACTTACAGGATCCATTTGTTTTCATCACAGAGGAGATGCAAACACTGTAGCGGCTATCACTATAGACCTGGTGCAGTCTTGCTGTAATGGTTGGAAGTATAATTTAGGCTTTTGGTGTATGTGTTGTCCCTCTCCTTGTTGCAGGGCAGGTTGTAACATGGTGGTTGTGTTTCAGTGAGCCTAAGTTGAAGCATCATTTACTAACCAATGGGAATTGGGATGGGCCCTGATATAATGACAAATCATGACTTACTGTTTCCCCTGGTAATGTTTAGAAATGGACCATAAGCTTATTTCTTAGCTAAACAATTCATATAATTATTAACTTTACATACATATTTTCCTTGGGCATATTTAATTGCATGTATGGAAAGTAAATTCCTCTCCCTTATCCAATGCAGACGCTGTCTCTCCAGCGGCAGATGATGGAGAACCTCATCATAGCCAAAGCCAGGCAGGATGCTGTATCCTTCTATTTTCACTAAGTCTCTCTTTGTTGCTCGGCAGGTGAAGGCTGGCTTTACTAATCTCTACGTTTATCTTAAAGGCAATTTGTGATTGTGCTTTATTCATTTCACTTGATTTGTCCTAATTGATGACATTTTCCCAGCTCTCCAATCCCTTTAAGTCAGGGGATGGCTTGGTGGAGGGACGGGTATATAGCAAACATTAAACAGGTGTTTGCATTAAAAATTGTAAATGATAATATTTGGCTGTTGAATATTAATATTTACAGAATGGAATCTTATTCTAACTTTTAAAAGTTAGAATAATGGGATGCGTCTGGTTTAAACTCAGACATGATCACTAATAGCTGATCTGTGTGAGGACTACGATACTTGGCGGTTTCCTTAATGTTTGTCGTGACATTAGCTCCAGCGGAAGATGGAGGAGAGAAGACTGAGACTCCAAGAGGAGGCCAACAGGTACGCCATGATTCTCAGACACACTGAATTAGGTTCTTCTGTTTTTAGCTTCTGCTTTCATTCTTTAAGCTCCTAAAATAGATGTATTTACAGAAGGAGCTGACTTTGATGTGTGCTTAATTGACTCTTATAATTCTACAAATATTGTAAACTATATATTCAGTCTATCACAGAATTATCAGTTTTTCTTAAAACCCCGTCTCAAGTTGGTTCCGTTCAGCGTCTCCTAAACTTTGAAATGAAATTGATGTGCTTAGTGCTCCTTAAAGAGCCTGTGGTATTATCTGTTTGTGATGTTATCTGAGGGCAAAGCACTCTTGTAAAGAGTTTAGTCAGTTTTGGAAATCATTTAGAGTAATGGCTGCCAAACTGTTTAGCTTGCTGGCCACAAGCATAAGAAGTCGAGGGCCAAACGATAACGGAGGTGTAGTTTTCATCTGCAAGAAAATCTGTGTTTCTTGACCAGGAAACATGTGCCATAGAAAATACATGTTCTATCAAAACAGGCAGAAAGATTAAGAAATATCGAATTACGATTATTTTGACTGATATTGCGATCATATTTGCAATATTAAAGGGAATTGCATCTTTTGAAAAACTTACTTGCATGAGTTCCTGTTCATGGCCTAAGCGCCATCTTAAAAGATTATGATGTCAATGTATGATGAAGAGAAATGTGTAAGACTAATATTAAGATGTGCAGTAACAAACGGAACAGACAGAAATGATAAGTTGGAGATCATTTCACCAAATATGTCATCTTCTAGTTTGTGCAATGTACACGCATTGCAATTAATTAGAAAATTAGTTGAAGCCATATTCTAGTTTATTTTATTTTCAAAATATGATGGGCATTTCAACAACGCCTCAATTAAGTTGGATAGGAAGTGAGATATGATGGTACTTTATATGGCTTTCAATTTTATCATCAACACGTTTGTGTTCAATAAATCGGCAGGAATTTCTCTCTTATTTGTGTTTAGTTCAGTGGTTCAGGCACTACACATGCAATATATACTGTATAACTTATAGATGACCAATACAACCATCAGTGACTCATTAATATTCATACACTCATGAGGGTGATCGTCCGAGGTCGGCAAGTACAGTTTAGACAATGAACTGCATGTTAATCCTTTTCTGTTTGTCGCTACAGGAGATTTGCAGCATCTGGGGCGATGACCGCAGAGGAGCAAGAGCGGCGTATTCTCTACACCAATGTACTGGAATATGAGCAAGACCATGTGAGTTAATCACCATGCTTGTGTCAAGACTAATGGAAGATGTTATTACAAGTTACCTGAGCACAAAGGGATGCCTTTTGAGTTGCACTTAACTTGGTCTGACGAGAAAACCTGGAGTATTCAATATGTGATTACATGAAAAGCTACAAGGCAAACAGCTGTGCGTCTTGTAAATCGTTTTCTTGCATAAACAAAGACAATTGGCATGATCCATTTTATCTTGATCACTTAAATTAAAATTAATCAACTTATCAGCATTTATGAAATTATAGATATAGTAGCCAACTATACAGCCAACATCCTTTATACTTTTTTCTCTTTAGGATTGGCCCAAACTGTGGAAAGCCAACATGAGAAAGAATCCTGACGATGACGCATTGGTCTCAGGTCTAGTCTCCTACCTGCTCAGGTAACAAACTGAAACATGATAGTTTAGGATATAGTTTAACCCTCTGAACCACAAACAGTTTCAGGGTGTTATTTTGTTTCCTCCTGTCTGTGGCCTCGTTTTTCACTGCAATATATAAGTCCTGTTCCTCTATGGAAGGAGCATAATCATGACTAGAAGTAGAGATAACTCAAAACATGTCTTTTTGTTAAAAATGATCATTTATTTACTTTTCAACAATTGGAAAATAATGTAATCTATATATCCAGCATATTTCCATATCCAACAAGTGTTACCACCTGTGAAACAAGTGTGGGCGACTCTGGCTCAGTGGTAGAGCAGGGTCATCCTTCAATCAGAAGATCAGCGGTTTGATCCCAGACTAGTCCATGTCGATGTGTCCTTGAGCAAGACACTTAAACCCCAAATTGCTCCCGTAGCTGTGCCCACGGTGTGTGAATGTTGTATGAATGTTAGATAGTCCTGATGCATGGTCCTTGCCCCTGTCATCTGTGTATGAATGGATGAATGATGACATGTAGTGTGAATGAGCTTTGAGTGGTCGGAAGACTAGAAAAGAGATAAAGTACAGTCCATTTACCAATATTGGCGGAAAAAAAACTCCAAATGCTTTACATATTGTAATATGAATATTTTCCAACCTCTCTGGTCCTCTCCTCTTTGAGTTCAGTCAAAGTTTACTGAGTGGTTGTCACGTGACTGTTGCTCTCAGACAATCCCATCATGGCTTCCCAGTTGGGCTGAAGAGTGCAGAATCCCCCCCCCCCCACAAAATGTAGTTCCTGAATATGATTTATTTTGGGCAAAATATTAAATGAAACCTGTACAATGAAGCGATTTTCATATGATAATCTTCAGTTTGCTTTTCCAGACGGAGGAGTTTGTCACTCATGATATGTTCTTGGTCCATAATAGCAGAAAACGCCAAAATTACACCATTGATCACAGCCAAAAGCTGAACATTTTTTTATTTTTAAGCTTTTGGCTGTGATCAATGGTGTAATTTTGGCGTTTTCTGCTATTGTTTTTAAAGAAAACATGCTTTTCAAACCTGCTGGTGGGTTTTGCTGTTCAGAGGGTTATGGTGCTATAGATTACAGGATGTGTGGTTGTATTGTTGACCTTTCCCATCAATGGAAGTTCAAGTGTTTTTGTCCCCCAACGTCCTTGTTTATACAAACATTGCAGAACATCTTTCTCAACGTGGCAACTTTGTCCCTGAAAACTAATCTGTAATGTAACACGTTAACGTGATTGTAGCCCCTGGTCCCAGACCAGATTTCAGCCTTTAGCTGGTGTTCAACTGGCTTGATCCTGCATTTCACTCAGTTACTCCCCATTTTACTATCAATCAGGAACAATACACATACAGTCTACTTACTTACACACTTACACATTTTATTACACAATCACTTCAACAGATTTTTTTTGATGTGCTCAAAAGGTCGACTCGGTCTTGCTTGGCTGTCGATACATGTTGGTTCAGAAGTGTTTTTGTTTCCCTTTTGTTATCGTCAGTGATTGCTGCAGTTAGTGTGATGCAAGATTGTTACTATACACACTTAAATCAAATGATTATATGACGTGTGTTGTTTGTTCCCGGCCACACTATAATCGGCCACGTTGAGGATGGACTAACATTTGTCTTGTGTCCTCAGCCGGTCTGACCACCCAGTGGTGAAACTGCTGAAGAAACACCAGTACCGGGTCTACAACAAGCTCTACCCCATCGTCAGTAAAGGCCCCCCCCACAGTCCTGCCCTGCCCCTGAGGCATTCTTGCAGCACCCACAACCTGCTTCATCCAGGTAGGAGCCAGAGCCAGGAGTGTTGGTGAGCTGGGTTGATCCAGGAAAGACCCGGTTAATGTTTATCTCGTGGATTTTTTCAGCTTCTGTCTGGTTTTGTTTTGTTTTGTGGCCGCTAGTTTGGTCCTCAAATAAGGGAATTAAAAATGTGTCGGTAAAAGCCTGAAATGTAGATTCAGGGTCCTAGGCGTCCTGGAAAACAGTTGACAACTTCCCAGTCATTGAAAACAAATGGAAAACGAGAGAAAAGTCCAAATTTTCTGAAAAATATTTTCTCCTATTTTCCTTTTAGCTGAGAATAAACTACTAGTCTATATATCAGAGCTCCCCAAACCAGACCACATGGCCATTTTAAAAGAGCCAAGTTATGTTCAAGTTATGTACTCACTAAGGGGTGCTACATTAGCAATAATACATTTGCTTATGTCATTGACCACACAGAGACCCAGAAGAGGCCAACCAGGGGCAGCAGCGTCGGTGGCCACAGCTTCAGCACGGGCTTGTCGCCCTACCCCTCACGCTCTCACAACCTCCACGCCGACTATGGCGACGAGGAAGGCGAGGAGCCTCACGAGCAGGCGACTGTGGATCGGGAGAACTCGTTCGAGGATCTGGAGCAGTTCCTGACCCAGTTGGACTGGGCCCCGCTCCACGGCAGCACGGACGACCCCGGCTTGGATTCAGAGCTGACCTTCGACCCCGATATGCAATCAGAGCAGGAAGAGGGCAACGCGCAGGAGCTGGAGATGAGGGCGCTGACGGAACACCTGAAGGTCGTTGTCAAGGACATTCACATCGCAATTGGTGAGCGCGATGATTAAGGATGGATTGGTTGTGCGAAGAAAGTTTCTTACTGTGCTGAGCAGAAATTTCCTGTTGAAAATCTTGAAGGCTGAATTTTACATTAACAGTCAATGTAAAATAGTTTGTTGATAAATGTTTCTTTATGTTTCAGATCAGCTTCTGTCACTGTGTTTGCTATCCTTTGAGTGTCTAAACACAGCCAGCTCTAAAGACCTGTGCCTCGCCAGCATAGAGGAAGCCTTCTTCACGCCGCTGTGGAGCGCCCTGGTGGCTCTTTTCAGGTACTGCAGCCTACATCCACCTAACATGTCTTTGTACTTTAAAGTGTTGTCTTAAACATGGAATGTTTCTTACTGCTTTTGCAAATCATCAACATCATTATCTTCAGTTAGATGAAGACCTCGATTGGAGTATAGAAATGGATAGCAACGCGTCACACTCTGAAAACCACGCCCACCACATTGTGCTACCAAGGGCTGAAACGTTAACAAAATGCCTGTAGCTAGCTTAAACATCTGAGTTCAGCATATCAAAGGATGGCTGTTGCCTCCTATGTCTACCAGAGGTGCGGCTGGTAACTAAAATGATGATGGGACAAGTTAGCAAGCTATTAGCGAGCTAATGTTAGCAATGGCTTAGCAAGCTACTGTAGTTAGCTAATGCACTTCGAAACACAATACGGCATAGCTTTCTGATTTATCCACATTCCACAACAACACAAGCACACTGTCTTAATCTTAATTTGCAGCACTTACAAAAGCACTGTTGATTAGCGCTTAAACATAATGGGAATTGCTATGCCAAAAGCTCCATGTCTGCAACATATTTCTGACCAACAAGATTTTTTTTCTATTGAGAAAAATGATCTATTTTTATTGATGTGTTACCGGTTTATGAGGTACACCTAGTTAAAAATCATCTGGTCTAACACTGCAATCCTGCAATAAACATGTCTTGACAAGTGTTTCTATTATTTTGTCCACTCCATTAATATCAATGTGGGCAGGCTAAATAACAGAAACGCCTCTTTGTAGAACGCAATACAGTTCAATGCCAGTTTGTAGATGCAACCACGTTTTTGGGCAGATGCAAAATCAGAAAATCTATCTACATCAAAAGGCAGACTTTCAAATTTGTTAGTGTCTTCTTTAAAAATACGCCCTTACACGTCAAATAGTTAATGACATGGCAGCAGGGCAACAGCCAATCAGCCCCACTCAGTATCAACTCTGTGCCATCTGCTTTATTTAAATAGTGTATATAACAAGAATCAGAAATAAGCTCACGCTTGTAGATGGGAAATTAATCTTAAAATATATGGTATGCTTAGTATTGAAATTAATTGAAAAATTAAGCTTTATTATCATATTGCATCTAAAGAAAATATGAAGGTTTGGCATGACTTGTTTCCCATATGTACAGTGTGGGTCATGACCAGCATGTGGCAGTGCTATTCCAACTATGTCAGCCTCTTCCCAGCTTCTGTTGCTGGTTTGATTCTCATTACACTCAAAGACTTTAAAATAATCAGTTGTGTTGCAAAGTTAAGACCATTACTGACTTCTACTAAATGTATATGTACCGCTTCTCACATTTTCACGGGACATATTTCAATACCATCCACATGTGTGTCATGCTATTTTCTGTACTTGCTACACTCGATGTGGACATGATTTATCACTGCAGGAAAAGCACATGTGCAACTGATAATAGTTGCTCGTTTCCAGCATTTATTGTAATGCAATGGAGCAATTCGTAATGATATTAGCAGACCTGCCAACCTGTACGCATCTTGCGTTGCAGGCATGCATTTTGACAATAAAGTACGCTGGTATAAATTGTTAAAGGTACCCAAAAAGCCAGTTGCTTTTTTTTTCTTTCTTTTGTATATAAATATAGCAGTGCTTATTGAGAGACATAGGATAATATTTTCTTCATCTAATAAAAAAATAACCAAGGGCGTACAAAAGCTTTTAAAACGTCAGTCGTGCCACACTGTGTGGATCTAGAGTTTGCTGCAGGAAGCCTCCCAAAACAGTAATGCATTGTGGGGACAGCAGGGATTCACGTATCTGATGGTACTGCCAAAAGAATAATACATTTCTTCCAGGGTTGGCAGAATACTTATTTTGACTCCTCTGTCAAAATCTGTGCTGTGCAAAAGGTCAGCACAGAGTAGGAGGTTCACACTATCCCCCAGTTCCACCCCCCCCTCCTTGTGGAGCCACAAGGATGAGAGCCCTGACAGGCTTCCCACCCATGAACACAGCCAGTTGGAATACCAAAGTATTTTTTTTTTTTTAAATGTCCTGTGATCAAATTGCTTTTGATGTTTTTTCATCTTGGCAAAATAATAAAATGTGGAATGCTTGAAATTTATCAAATTAAGTACTTTGTAACGACAACTTCATCGCAAACACCGTTGTTCTTCCAGAATGCCTGGTAGTGTTCCTCACTCCCAAACATCTGCTGCTAAAATGTCTTCCCTGTCTGATAACCTTGTGTCTGTCTTCCTCAGGAGGGTCCACAGGGAAAGGGAGCAGGCCTTTGAGGCGAGTATGAAGCTGTACCAGGATGCTTCGCCAGCGGACCTTGGGGTCCCCTTGAAACTGTTCCCCGGAGACCCCGGTGCACTGCAGGGTTCCTACCCCTACGAGTCTGCTGTTCAGGAGCTCAAGCTTCTCATCAAAGACTGCTGTCCGCAGAGGAAGTTGGAATGTATTGGTGAGTCAGATTGTGTTGTTTACTTCATCACATCAAAGCTGACTTTCAGGACCGATAGCTGCTCTTACAGAGTATCAATTCAACCCGAAGGAGGCAACTCATGACTTCAGTTTTGGTGCTGACTGTCATCTTATCCAGTCTGTCATTCTCGAGGTATCTGCAAAGTGATGAAGCTTTGAATTTAGTTCCCTCAACAAAAAATAAGGTCTTAGAAGGTAATAAAATGTCTTACATTTGTGTCACAAGTAAGTTAGTTATAAAGGGGTTTTGAATTTGACTGCACGCTGTCAGATGTTCTACATCTATGAACTAAAGTGGGATTGTTTGCTCAGTGGATTGTGGTCACACCTCTTTTTTGGAGTTTCAGTCTGCACCTGTTGCTACTGCTAGCCACAGTAGCTAGGAAGATCATTGGGCTCATGCAAGAACAGACTGGTTCTTGGACGAGTGATTCAGGAGAAGTTGCCACATTCACCAACTTTCTCTTATGAGCACATTTTACGAGTGGTCCAGACTTGTCGTAGGAGTCTTCTGACATTAGTCTGTTATCCAAGCCTACGTTTTTCACCAATGGATTGTATGTATTATTACTTTAAAGCAATTTTGAGTTTGGAAAAACCTATATTAATTACACTTTAAAATGATGTTGACATTATCCTGTTTGACATATAGGTTGATTTAATTCTAAATATGTTCATTTAAATTGTCTATTGACTCTATTGTTTAACACTACAATATCAATATGAACATCTTTAATGATGGGACCCCCTCCTGTTGCAGTCATCGATCGCCTTGCAGCGAGAGGTTTTTCCTATTGAACCATTTCTGAATATTGTAGATATTGTCTGAGGTTTTATATTTCTTGCTTTCTGCTAATGTTTTGTTACAGTTCGGACATTGCGGCTGATCTGTGCCTGCGCTGAGGATTACAGGTGCCTTCATGAGGTGGACTCTACCCCAAAAACAGCCGCCATGTGAGTAAATCATCAGCTAAATGCCAACTCTTTTTGGGGTTTCGGTGTTTGGCGTCACTGCAGCAAATATAAAATCATTCGCTGGGGGATTTTAGTGGGAAATGGAAAAAAACAGTAAAATAAGACTCATGACATTAAAAGTGATACAATGCAATACAACAGTTGGAGAACTTTGTACAGAACAGTGAAGGACTGTCTGGTTGTGCTATCCTTTTTAGTTGAATTCCTCCAAGTGCGCCTCATTAAACTTCAAAATAAGAGCCCTTTCTCTGTTGACTCCGTGCTTATAGGGAGTTAAAGACCGTCCAGTGGAAGTACCCAAACATCACGTAAGGACTCTGCCTTGTTAGCTGCCCTGTCAGATCTCATCAGTGCCCAGTTAAGCCCGGCACAGCGGGGGTTGTGCGAGGTCTATTGCCCCCCCATAGTGTCTCTTCCAGGCCAGGCCTAAAAGTGGGTCGTCCTGTCTGGGTTTGGAACAGATCCAGGGCCCAACGAGGGGCTTGGGGAGAAGAAGTTTTGTGGAATTCATGATGATGCAGACACACAAAGGCTTACTGGGTTGTAGCACCCATTGTGGAGAACATGCAGGGCATTGTGGACTACATTTTTTTAATTGGTTTGTGCAGACAAAGTTTCACTAAAAACAGTTTCCTCTGCATCCACACTTAATCGCATTTCAATGGGAAAATTCTTGTTGTGGCTTGACATTATCCCGTGAACCACACCCATGAGAGAAGCAGTGCTGCCCTTACAGTTAACCTCATCAATGCTTAGTTTATTTCTCACCTGTGAGTTAGTGGACTGAAAATACTTTTGCATCAATGTTGTACAAGCAGAGACTTCTTTTGAACTTACTGTAAACAAACAGAGCTAGTGTTTGTTCCAAGGTGGCTGTGGATCGTAGTTCTAGAATATAAGCTTTTTCTGGGTTGTTTGGAGAGCCAGTCTTAAGTGAAGGTTGGCAGTGCTCGACAGGAAAGCTTTGTTTATACTCGCCTCCGCAGACAGTGTGTGAGTTCTGAGCATGCACAGGCGTTCAAACTCTCTGCGCTGTGCGCTGCATTACTCTCCGAAAAGCCAGAGGGCACACAAACAAAGTGAACTGTGAAGAATCAAAAAGACAGTGGGTACAACATTGTAACCCAGAGACATGACCATAGACTGTAGGTGTAACTGGCAAAACGCCATAAACCACCTCCACAATGACGAGGAGGGTTTGTAATTATCTGTAAACTCGTATCTCATATTCATGGACTACTGTATTGCCGTTGTACAAGCCCTGTAAAGAAAAAACATACATTCTAAAGAAAATGAGGTTGAATATCCTGTAAACAATTTGATTTGACTGCAAAATATGTAGATTTTTAAGACTCGTTTCTAAAGCATCTAAAAACAAAAATAAATGTGAATTCTACTGCAAAGCATGTACAAACCACACGACATGTTTTCATGTCACATTTTCATTATTAAGCTGTTAGGCAGGAACCATGTTTTAACACAACCAAAAGATGATGGCTGGTTGTCGGCCTGGCAACCACTTTTAAAAGTTAGTGTTTTAAAAGGGTTGAAAACTGTTGAAATTGAAGCTAGTGGATTATGTTACCAACATAACCAAAGGGTTTTTATGTGTATATGTGCACATCAGTAATGCCTGTAAAAGGCCTCTGTGGGTTTCACTGCACTCTATACAAACACCCAGTATCAGGGAACAAATCCTGTTCCTCCTCCAGAGTGTTATCTGATATCTTGTCTTTTTTTCATACACTTTCGTCCCTTTTTTCCCTCTTTTGTTGGATCCACTAATGCTCTTTTCGAGAAGGTCTGAGACCATGTCTCCTGCTCCGTATCTGTCTTCTTGTATTGGAACACGCGTGAAATGATCGGAGACGGCAGACCAGACGAGTTAACCGGGCACTGCTATTCTCAAAGCTTGGAAAAGTAAAGCAAACAGTTGTGAGCTTGAAGGATTTGTGTATGTGTACTCTCTGTATATGGTAAAATATACAACATGTAGTGCCACGAAATGAAAACTGAATCATGCTGTTTGTTTTGTTACCTGGAGACATGAGTCAAGCACGGCCAAACCACGCAAGGGACGCGAATAGACGATCTATTTGTTCTTGTTTTCATTGTTGACACCAGGAATGCGTCATGTTTGACATCTCTGTATCTTCAATCATCTCTGGAAAGGCTGCTTTTGATTCGTATCGTTTTAATCCTGATCAGGCTGCATGATTTTCACCAAAAGAACAGCTGTTTTTCAATGACAAACTCTGGCACTACTAGCTCATCATTTCTGAATGTCATAATCTTGCCAGTGGCCACTTCCAGCTCTGATTCAATAAAACCTTTTTAAGGGGGTAAATTTAGACCGTGTACTTTCCTGCCTCCGATGTGCCAGTTAAGGTTTTCTGTCCTGATTGCGGCTCAGTCCAGGCCAATATGTGACTGCTTTTTTTTAGTCCATCTAAATACATGTTGCCTTTCTGCGTGTCACTTTGACTCTCAGAACGTGTATTTTGGTCAAGGCCCGACTCCATCAAATTTGCTGCGGTGTTCCCAGGACCGTCAGATTCCAGCAGGGATTAGTGAATCTTGTATTTTCAATGCATATATAGCTCTCCCCTTTCACTATAGTTTCTCATTTACAGTCTCACACACAGATGCACTTTATTGAACTCGCTGCCCTCCTTTATTCATTTGCCGGCGTTTCCATTTTCGTCAGGTCATTGTCCCTGACCAACCGGGAGCTCATTTGTTCTCGTGTGCTTTTGTCCATTTCCCTTTCTTTTCTCTCTGCCATTGTGCTGCTAAACTGGTCACCACTTTCCCTGCTGTATTCTGTTAATTAAGAACACCCCCACCCCCACCCTTTGCATTTCTGCTGCTTTTTGACATCTTCCACTACATTGGATGTACGTTGCAAAACCATAATGGAGCCCAATCTTCTCACTGAGATCTGTATTTATACTTTACACTTGGAATGCAGTGACGCCAGTTTTAAGTGCGAGAGGATCGATGTCTTGTGTTTACAGCGGTGAACTCACGAGGTTATAATACAGGGTTGCGATTTTTTGTGCGCGTGTGTGAGGTCCAACTCTCCACGGTTACACAAGCCTGTCCACACCTTCCAGAACCCTGCAGGAGGAGAGTATCCTGTTGCACGCAGCCGGGGTCAGTCGAGGCCTTCTCACGCAAGCGAGCAGTTAGCCCCTGCGTGTGAGTCCTGATAAACAAACGGTCACTGTCTGCACACAGAGAGAATGCTATCGGGCTGTCATCATCTCCAAGGCAGCAATTTGTCCTCCCAACAGATCTCGGGGAGAGGGAAAAGAGAGCTTTATCGTTTCCATCCCTGAACACGCATCCCATTAAGAGCTACATTGTATTTAGTTTCCATGCATTCCCCTGGGGAGCCCACGCCATCATACTCTGTAAATGTCACTCTCTTATTTACTTCGGTTTTTCCTGTTTGACTCGATCTCACCGCCCGCTTCCTCCTTTTCGTCTGCCAGCGGCGCGGATGACCTGTTGCCCATCCTGTCCTTCGTGGCTCTGCGGTGCCAGTGTCCTCAGCTGGTGTCCGAATGCGCCGCTCTGGAGGAGTTCATTCATGAAGGGTGAGTCATCATGATGAGAAAAAGATGGTTGACTGACGAGCGCCTTTTATTTAATTTTATTTTGCACAAAAGTTTGTCCAAGTAGATTTATCATAATTCTGAAGGAATGTTTACCCACACAATACCCTTTGCTCATGTCGAAGAAGAAGTTGACAGATGTCCTTGTACTTGGTGAACATGCCTAAATTTAGCCTGAGAGAAATCTGTCAGCTTGCACAACACTCATCACTAGTCGTAGTGGTGGAAAAATGTGGTTATGAAACAAAGGATCATTCAAATCTGTAAAGTAAAACAATGAAATTTGGTACAGTCCTAGAAATTTGTATGTGGGTTAATTTAATTAATTTTTTATGAGTACTGGGCTTCAAGTTAAATAAACAGTAACAGTGATTTGCTCAATGATTCAAGTCCTTGAATGGTGACAGCATTTCACTCTCTCTCTCCCTCTCACTCACTCACTCACTGTCCCGTCACTTCCCTGTTGTCCCTTTCTGTCTGTGGATATGGGATTTCTATTAACAACAATGAAAAACAAGCAGGCAGTCTATCTAGCAATGAACCCACAGAGAATTATCCCTTTGCTGTTTGTCTTACACAGTATTTTATAGTCATTTACCTCTTTGTTTTGGTTTTCCAGCCCTCGTACTTCCCTATCGTCCACCCATTCCCAGCAGCAGGTAGCTGTTTTCAGTAAAAATATTCTGATAAATTCAATGTCCACTACCTGCCCAGCACCAAACAAAAGACAGACAAAGTTAGAGCTGCTAAAGAACCAGATCTTTTCCTCAGGAGTTGGTGGAGACCCAAGCAAATCTAAAAGCAGAGTGATTATTGGACCTGCATCCATCAGTCGACCAGAAACACGACTCCAAATGAATGCTAGTAATGCTCTGTGTCTGCAGGGCTTTTTCAAATATATTTATGAAAATAAGCCAACACATTCGACCACAACGATTTCGTCACTTGATAATACGTCAATATTGTGTTTACAGCTTTAATTTAGGTCACAAACAATAAAATACTTACAATATTTATCTTTGCAGGCGGGGGAATCCTTTAATGCAGCACTTATACTATTAGAAACAAACTTTAATGGTAATAATGATGATAAAATCATCATTGGAATTATATCAAAATAAGGCTTTAGAATTAAGAACTCCCCCAGTACATTTACATTACACAGTTTGCTCCCAAGAGAGCACCTGACAAGTTTATTCTTCAATTCAGGAATATCTCTCTCGGTGCACATCTTTGACCCATTTTTGATAAATTGTGTCGTTAAATGTTTAAAAAAATCATGTGATACTGTTGTCATATTTTTTCCAATGTAGATATCTGGATCCTCCTCAAATATACAGTATTGGTCGGGCTCTAGTATTCATATTCCTAGTTATGCCATCAGACAGATAACCCTCTTACTCTTTTCTGAGGTACATGTCTTAATGTAGTGTTATGTAGGCATAAACCTATGTAGGCATGAATACGTGCTATCAAATACCAAGATAAGCTGTCAAGTTGGACAGTTGGGGAGGCCCGGTGGTCTTCGGTTGAGGGACTACATCATGCCGAGTGTCATTGCGTGTGAGCTCAGACCACACCCAAAGAGGTCTACTCAGGCCCATAAAAACAGTAGGTTGTAAAAGCCATCTGGTTAGATTGGCAGTGGCCAAGGAATGTCAGGATATTTAAGATTTGGTTTTTCTCCTCTATAAAAAATACAAATTAAGTCCCACTTGATGTTTATGTTGTCCAATTGAAGGGAGGTGGAGGAACCAAAACCGGCCACAAGGCTATGAGAGGGTGGAGATACTCGTGCTCTCCAAAGGCTGTGAATGAGATCGCCAAGAGTCTTTGAAATGATTTGGTTGAGTCAGCAGTCTGTCAATGTGTTTGAGATTTTATCTCCAAGCACGATAATGATGTCATGACTAGAGTTCAAGAGTACATTAATTAAGCAAAACGTTACTTTATTTGACATGATACTGTAAAGAAATGGAGCCTGGTGAGGACTAATTTGATATGCGTTTCATTTTACTTATATTCTTTTTTTTATCCTCATCATTTGAGTACAATGTCAAATGAATAGCTCTTCAAATAGAAGCACCTTTAGCTTCCCCAGTTTCTCAAAGTCCTTTCTGCCGTGCTTGGTCAACAACACTTTAGCCAGGATTGAGTTCACTGTAGATGTAGTTCACTTATTGTCGAGCCCCTCAGTACAGCATCAAACCAATGTTTAATGTTGACGCCTTATGTTTACTTGTTTAAGTCACATTTAGTCTTCTTATTATTTATAGCGTTGGATAATTAGTTACTTTTAGCATTGTTTTTCAACAGAAACCAAACTTCTAGTCTATTTATTTTAGTTCCATTTGTTTTGGTCTTTGAGGCTTGAGACCATCTTCAATGTTGTTTTTCTTTCTTTTTCTCGTACGCCTCAAATTATCATTCCCAAACATTTGTCTGTTTGAAAAGAGCTACTTGTTGGCATTATTACAGTTATCTGTGCTTGATTCACTTACCTCTCACTAAAACAGTGTTCACGTTAGACACTTCACTCAACTACAAACTGAAGACAATCTTCCTGATGTTGTTGCTAAAACTGGGTGGAAATATATTGTATATTTGTAATACATTTAGTCATACCTTTTAGTTTTTATGTCATATTTTCTTTGTTGGGGGAAGAAAGGTTTCCAACAAATGTTTTTTGGTCATGTTTTTATGAAAGATTGCATCATCTACAATGCTTGGTGGTTGCATTTTTAGGAATCCAATGGCATTTTTATACATTAAAATTTGGTATAATATTTGAGTATTATTCCAATACCACAGACGTTATGTTTTCTTCGCAGTCGAGGTACAAGTGTCTCCTTATCTCCTTTCCTTCCTCAATCCCTCGCTGTCTCTGTCCTCTCACTCCTCGTGTCCATCCATGCAGGGAGTCACTCTAGTTAGTCAAAGGTCAGCCAGAGTTGACTTGCTCTCCAGCCCCTTCTCTTCTGAACAAACCTCCATAACCACTCGTTCTTCACACACATCAACACCCTCCATCTCTCCCCTCTTTCCTCACACTGCCCAACCTTTGAATACACGTGTACCGGCTCTAAAAGTGGAGAAAACGGCGGATCTCTTTTAATGTGTTCAATGATGAGCAGAGATGCTCGGTCCTTCACTCGCTATTGAAAAGTGTTGATCAGAAATATGAATAAATCGTGTGTCTTTTCTGTGCTTGGATGTTTGTGTGCACTCGTTTTGTTTAGTTCTGTTAACATGAAATAGTTTGTTTCCCCTATTTCACTTCTTACCGCTTCCTTTGACCTCAAAATGTTTAAATAAATGGAACACTCACAACCATGTTTCTAACTTTGACTTGCAGATGCCTTGTTATCGGCTAATCGTCTCTTCTCTTTTTCAGCTATTTGATAGGAGAGGAGGGCTACTGTTTGACCTCCCTGCAGAGTGCCTTGGCCTATATCGAGTCCCTGCACTCAGGAGGAGCTCATCATGCTGCAGACAACCCCTTTTGAAAAGGTGAAGTAAAGCCCAGACCTGACGCTCTGGTAAACATTTTGTTGACCTTTGTGTCAAGTTAAATCAAAGCGGATGAAAATGGTAAATGGACTGTATTTGTATAGTTCTTTTCTAGTCTTCCAACCAATCAAAGTGCTTTAACACTACACGTCATCATTCACACACATTCATACACTGATGACAGGAGCTAACATGTAAGGTGCCACCTGCCCTTCAGGACTATCTAACATTCATACTACATTCACACACCGATGGCACAGCTATGGGAGCAACTTGGGGTTGAGTGCCTTGCCCAAGGACACATCGACATGAACTAGCGGAGCCGGGGATCGAACTGCCGAGCCTCTGATTGAAGGACGACTGAGCCACAGTCTGGGCTTCTAAAGAAAAACTATAATCAAAATGATAGTATTAGGAAGGAAAGAGAAGTTAAATGTAATGTTTTGAACCCAGTGGTGAAAACTTGCATTTAAGATATTATGAAAATATTGGTGATTATCAGAAAGAAGTGCACACCGCTCGTTTACTAGAAGGTACGTGCGTCTTTTGCTGAGACGAAACATGGGGCTAAACGGCACACTTGTAAACAGAAGCCCCTATTGTTTTCCGTACATCCTCTAAACCGGTGCCAGGTAGGCGTGCGCCATCACTCATGGATGCGCTGCCCTGCGACACTTGACACCACTGTCGTGTTTTCAGTCTTAAAAAAAAACTAAAACTGCGCCAATACGGCAACATTTTTGAAGCCAACAAAGGAGGTGGTCTGAAAAACACATGTCAGTTGTTCTGCTGATTTGTGGTACCACTTAACTCAAACCAGCTTATATGTGCATTACCGCCACCAAGTGGACTGGAGTCGCTGCACTCTCGTCACTCGGGAGCGGCTGCTGTGTCAAGTGAGAAGCCTAGTGGAAAAATTCACTTTATTTAGCCTTAACCATCTATCTGAATGGCCAAATAACACTAGTGAAAATGAACTCATTGTGGAATTTGACCCTTTAAATATTTATAAATGGTAAAATAGAATGGGGACATAAAAAATAAAGTTGTTTTATAAAATACTTATAACATTTAACATAACAGAATGCTCTGTTTTGGTCTTGGGTGTGAATTTTCAACTTCCATTTGTCAGGTTTCCAGAAAGGCAGCATGCAAATTTAGTCTGCTGGATGTGTAATTTGATCACATAATTATTTCGATATACTGCCAGTGCAGGAATAATATATTCCATTTTGTGTTGTAGGCTGCTGCGGTCCTATGAGATCCTCCCGACTTCCTGCTGCACTGTCGAGAGACCACAGCTGAACCTGCGAGTTGTGAAGACTCATGTTAACTTGTACACACAAAGACACACTGCAGATTTCACAAAAGGACTTCTTTTGGCTCGCTTTGCAACCGAGGACTAAACCCTTGCCTATGAGTTGTTTCTATACAAATCAGGAACTGAGCTTTGCTCAGACCTCTGAGGATGTTTGTAAACTGTAGAGCATTGCTGAATTAACTGGCCCTGGATTGTTAAAGGGACTCTATGAGGTTGAGAATGGTGTCCTTTTAGGGAACCTTTGGAAGTGAAGCTGTTGACCTGCAATATGGTTTACTAATGAGGGAATATATTTGTAAACCATATTGCAGGTCTTGCGCTTTTTTCCCCGAATCAAGCCAACCACGCATGCTTCGACTGATATTTGTCGTGCTCAGAGTACGGTAATAGTATTTCATCTTATTATACGCCATGTACCCTGTGGCCTTTTTTCTTTTTCACAAAAATAACATTCAAACTTATAATTTAGACAGCGGTTGCATTTCTTTCTTTATGCGTGTGTGTTTTTAAGACTGGTGGCAAAATCCATCCACTGACTATGAACACAAAATATGAATTTATGCACTTTGGGTGATGAAGCCCTCAGGGGTGAGGCTACACTGGAGGATGACTTTCAGTTTACACAGATCTATTTGCAGAGATGCCATCTTACAAAAAGTGAGACACTGGAGGAGCACAGGAATGGTTTCAGCGGGGTGACATGTCTAGGTTGTTTTGTGTTTGTATGGAACACCATGTTGGTTAACATTTAAGTGAGGCATACAGGAACATGGTTGGGTAGTACTTTATGTAAGTAGTAACACAGTTGCACTTAGTTAGTTGGTCCATTTCTTTTAAGTGTGTGTATGTGTGTGACAATTTGCAAGCCAGGCCACAGGGAAACGATCTTTTAATGCCAGGATTCAAAATCAACAAACTGTCAGAGGAAAGCTGAAAGGTCACTTCATTTTCAGCTTATTTTATACTTTTCACTCGTATCCCAATGCTTCCATTTACATCTACAGTTTACCCAAATTCACAACCATAGAATGGGGGCAAAATGGCAACCTATATATTTTGAAATGGAATATCCACCTGTAGATCTTGGGGCGCCTAGAAAATATCAGTTCTTTACTGAGATTTGACATTTTTGAAATGCTTTTCTTCAGAGTCATTTGAGCCGTTTAAATGCATGTGGACACCAAATTGGATGTTTACTTGAAAGGATCTGGTGTTGCGTTTTTTATTTTTATTTTTCAGCCCGTTACCTGCAGATCAAGTTTACTTGAGTGACCAATTATGAATTCATTATGGTGTCCTCCAGTAGATGATGGCCAGTGATTTAAATTGGTGTGCGTGGTGTGTAATAAATAGGCGGCTAAAATTTGCAAAAATAATGTTTGCTGTGTTTGAACGACCTGAAGCAGACTGTCATCTGGTGTAAAAGACTGAAAAACTACATTTTTATATGTTGTCATTTTATTAAGTTTGGTTTGCTTGTTTGCTTGTTTGAATTTAATATTTAATATTTTATTTTTATTTAGCATGGGTCCAAAAGATGTGAAAAGATGTCCTAAAACTGATTTACTACCTACTTTTTGTGACGTTAACACCAAAAACTGACTTATGTGTATGTAATAAATATGAATGTAATTATATTGAAAATTGTATTTTGCAAAGTGGATTTGTAAATGATTTATTGTATATTTTGCTTTTGAAAACTCCATATGAATGTTGTTATTTCATTATTAAACTGTTTTTAATGTGAAAGGTTGGGAATGTAGGAATGAGAACGATGAATGTGTGTTTGAGAAATGGGTAAATAAAGAGAACAGAAATATTTAAGTCAATAAATATGCGTCTTGTAGTCTGACTCGACATCTGACTTTATGGAATCAAAATAGGGTCAAAACTATTATAGCTGTGTATTATCACCGTATCTGAATGTGTGAAAAATTGTTAGTATAAATATATTGAAATGTGTGAAGAATATCTGAACAAATTGATGTAGTTGTTGATCTGTAGCTGTGTTTGACAATTTGTGAACTAATGAAAAAGATTTGCACAAACGATTTCCAATGTGTGAGTGCACGAAGCTTTTCAGCTACAGCACCGGTGTTTGGTTATTAATAACCAAACATTACATTACGAATATTCTTAAGATGTATTCATATTGAAATATCCATAACTTAAGAAATGGGTGTTGAATTTTTTTGCATGTTTGTTTAATCAAACAATTAAAAAGACTAATGTGCGTACATAGCTGGAAACTGCAAAAGTCAAATGACATGATTTTTATATTTGAATAATTGTAATTGTCTGTAATGTGTTTTTGTGTCTGTCGTCCATAAAACGCTGGAGCAGCAGCTGGAGAAGCACAGGGACGCTCGCCAGAAGCAGCTCAGCCGCCTCTGAGGTGAGATCGACGCTGGACAAATTCAGAGTAAGGAAACACCAGTGAAGTCAAATATTGTCTTTGGTTATTCTTTCAGATTTGTTTTTTGTGTTCAAAAGATATTTATCAGACATTATTGTCTTTTGTATTGAAAGTATAGTATAGATGGTGTAATACTATGGCTTTTAATGACATACTATACTGTGACTTTTTATCACTATTTCAACAAACTATACAATTACTTTTTTCGAATATTATATATATGTATGTGTGTATATATGTGTGTGTGTGTGTGTGTGTGTGTATACGTGTATACGTGTACGTATATATACGCACACACACACACACATTCATAATTCGTTCAACATATTATATTATGATTATCGAGATACTATACTGGGACTTTTTCTTTTAATTAGGCCTTGCGAAGGAAATGGTGTCTGGATTTCCAAGCTTGATTGATGTTAACAAATTTAGGTATAAGCTAATCAGTTTGTGCATATTTACAGTTTTGTCCATCATAGTGTAGTATGGAGTCTATTATTTCATTTTTAATCGGTTGAATACCTTATATTGAATATGTGTTGTACGTCTGCCTTGTCTTTGATTTGTTAATCCTGGCTGAAGTTATATTAAATAACCGTGCATTCTTATTTTGAAATAAAGGCAATATGAGTAGAGTTGACGCCATGATCAGCAGTCACATGGATGGCTGAGTCGTGATCATGTGATTGCAGCCATTAATTTCTTAGGACGATGAACATGAATCAACATTTCTGTAAACGTGCCAGTGTTAGCCAGCTGGCTAATTTTCAACTGGAGTCTGTATGTTTTGAAACCCATGAGGACAAGACAAAAGAAGCATTCTCAAGACAGTACAATAATACAGCAACAATACACACTATTGGGTAACTCTGTTAGAAACGGAAAGCTACAAAACACAGCCAAGTAATACTGATTAATAACCATTTCTGAGACATGCAGAGTAGCAATGGGAAGAGTCGACCAAAAACTGTCCAAGTAAAAGTACTGTTACTTTGCAAAAACAAGTATTCAAGTAGAACTAAAGTCATCAAAATAACTACTTCAGTAAGAGCACAAAAGCGTTTACTGAAAAAATGTACTTGCCTAGTGACTAGCTTAAGACTTTTCCCCTCAAGTCTGTTCTTTGCTGTGGATACGACTGGAACGATTTCCACCACAGACTGTCTTCCTCAGGTAAACACCTGTATTCGTTTGTGAGGAAGTGACGAGTCATCTACTGATTAGATAACCTGCCACACATACACCGAACAACATCCACAGTCTGTCTCATACGTGTGATCACAAAATATTACTTTGACATTATACTCTATTTAGTTCCATCCATCCATTATCCAAACCGCTTATCCTGTTCAGGGTCGCCGATCCGAGCTGACATTGGGCGAAGGCAGGGTACACCCTGGACAGGTCGCCAGTTCATCGCAGGGCACATATAGAGACAGACAAACATTCACACCTACGGCAATTTCGAGTCTCCAAATAACCTAAGCTGCATGTCTTTGGACTGTGGGAGGAAGCCGGAGAACCCGGAGGGAACCCACGCTGCAACGGGGAGAACATGCAAACTCCACACAGAAGGACCACCCGGGATCGGGGATCGAATCCAGGTCCCACTACACCACCGTGCAGCCCCTATTTAGTTCCAATAAGTAGAAATATTCTTAACCGACATTATTTGCTTGTTGTCTCGTATCTTATATGATGAATTGGCAAATAAAATCAGCAAATCCTGAGCATGTCCATAATAAAGTCAATAGAGTGTAAACGGTGTCCTTAAAGTTGAATCATTAAAGTAGAGATGTCCAAAGTTCCTGTTCTAATCAGAGCGGACACATCCATCTCTCAATCACATGAAGATAGTAACATTGGAGAAGTGGACAGATGTCTCCCATCAGATGACTCATTCAGGCTAATTAGGAGAAGATTGCCTATTAAGCGCTCACTTCTTCACTTTGACCTGAGGACGAACATCTGTGGTTAAAACATGAAATCAGTCAAGTCCACGTCAAGCTACACAAAGCAGGAGTATTAAATGTGCACTGTTTGAATCTTTACATTAGGACAGAAAGCAGTAGTAGAAGTAGTTTTTAATGATGTCATAGGCCTACAGTGTTACTTGTCAGCATAAACACAACAGACACACACGTGTCGGCACGCTTCTCTGGTGTACTGACTTCAGACCAGCGTTCACATCTGGAGCCTGCTAAGCTAGCTGCTGTTGTCATGCTACTTTTAACAGAGAGTCATGTGGAGGTGTGGTAGGATAACAGAGCGCCAGCAGACCTGGGAACAGCTGACCACCTGCCTCTTAAAGGACCATGAAAGCATAAAATAGGAGTAACAAGATGGATGCATCAAAACACAACAGAGTAAGTAGTAATGGTGGTTCTCTAAATTGTACTCAAGAGTCAAAAGTATGCGGCATTAAAGCTACTCTGTCAAGTACAGTTTACTCAAGAGTTGCAGTATGTACTCGTGACTACACACCTCTGGCAAATGAGTAGAGAGAAAATATGACAACCATAATGTAGGTGCGTTGGGAACCCTTCCCAGCATGCACTTGGGCAACACGGACATAACTAAAGCTGCATTTCAGATTGCATTATTTTACTTTTAGCACATACTGCAGCTGACCTCACAAAGTACGGACTGTCACGTGCAGTATGTCGTCAATTGGCACTTATTACCACCTCATAACATTTGACCCTCATGCTCATCTATCTGCTGTGCAAAGGATTGTGGGTCAGAATTGCCAGAAAAAGCATGCCAATGATGTAGTAGGACATCCTGGTATTTTTGCCATACTGCATTTGACATACTATGTATTGGGACGTACCAAATCTTTTTTTTTGGTGTACTAAATAGTATTGTAGTATGGGTATTGAAACGCACAGTAAGTACTATGTGTGTTCCAATATTGTTGGAATCAATGTAGAACGTTTCATTTTCTATCAAGTGAACAGCAGAGACAAACAAAATGATTCTTTTCTAAACAGAAAAAAGAAAGAAAAGAACACCTCTTGACACCCAAATTTAACTGGAACTGATGTGACATGTTTTTCTATTTTCTTTAGTTTTTTTCCGGCTGCCAGTTGTGAGGGTGTCTGTGTGGCGATGATTCCTGGATGATGCAGGAGGCTGCGATGGGCACATGGCTGAATAGCAGCAGACGCCTGTGAACTTGAAGGAAAAAGCAACGTGCCACTCTGAATCAGTCACAACACCACCAGAGGCCACAGTCTCTTGCTCCTTCTCTTCATGAATGTTCTTTTTCTGTCTCACTGAGTGTTCCTTTTTGCCTCCTTCCACTTCACTTGCCTTGTCGCAGCCCATACCAACTGAACTGCAGTTTCAGAGTTCCTTGGGTCCGTTTCCAGGTCGGCAGGGTCACCGCCACTTGCTTACAGGGACAGTTCAACCCAAAATCAAAAGGGCATATTTTTTCCACTTGTCGTGCTATTTATCAATCTAGATTGTTTTGGTGGGAGTTGCCCAGTTTTGGAGATATTGGCTTTAGAGATGTTCGAACCTTCGTGTTATTGACTCTCGTTTAGAACGAAAATAACGGGATATATGGCAAAGCGGCAAAAAAATAATCTGCACTCTCTTTCCAGAAATCACAAACCTCGTTGCAAGCAGTTTCATGTAGGAACTGCTCCCAACAAGGTTACAAAATTAAAGTAGGCTTCCAAATGTAAAAGTACTCACTATGCAGAATAGTATTTAGTATATTAATGGATTATAATCATTGAAGCATTACTGTGTTCATCACTTTAATGTTGCAGCTGGTTTGGTGAAGCTAATTTGAACTACTTTATATCCTGATAGGTAGTTTAATTATTCATATTATATTATAATGTGTGACTTCGACATGTACTGTGAACATGAATAAAGTGCCAGAGTGCATAGCAAAGCAAAAAATAGCTTATTTATAGTTACAAATCCCAGTTTAACTCGTGTTAACACACAACCTAAATCTTTACATAAGCGGAAACGCTTTTTTCGTTCTTTTTCTGTCCTGATAAAAATGTGAGTCATGGTGAAAAGTGCTCCAGACATGGCAGCTGTGGTAAAATGTTCTCTCAGCATGTTGTCACATTTTGGCCCCTAAACTATGGAGCCAAATCCAGGCCAATAGTTTTGATCATTTGAAAAAAAAAATTTGAACCTGAAAGTTCAAGTTGTGGTCTTGAACATTGAAAAATACAGCAATGTATTCAAAATAAACATAAGTGAATGAAAAGTTATTTTGGGTTGAATGTAATTTTGATTCACTTAGTGCATTAAATGAGTGTCTCCGTGTGAAATGCTGGCATACATCTGTGTCTACGTTGTGTTTTACTGTGCTGTCAGTGATTGCGGGACACACCCCTTGTGGAGATAGCGTGCCTTGAGAGTTCCAACTCCTTGCTT